TTGATGATTATTAGAAAGAGTTAAAAGAATTACTGAGTAGATACAATTTCTATATTTATTTTTTTTATTTTTTTTTTCTGGATATTCTTCTTTTTTATCACGAGTTATTGTTACTTCTTGTGTATTTTAATTTTGTGATTTAGTCTTTCCTTTAGATACTTTGTTTTTCTTTTTTTTTTCTAATTTGCTGTTCTTCTCATTTTCTTCAGTAAAGCTTTAGTGCTCTTTTTTGTTTCTTCTCTAGCCATTTCTGTTTTTTTAGTATTGGATAATATACTTGTTTCTTCTCTTTGGGTTTCTTTCTTCTTTCATTTTCAAATCTGTATTTCTTTTTGCTTTGCTGTATTTTTCTTTGTACTGAATTTTAGATTATTTCAAAATTCTTCTAAGTTGTTGTTGCTTCTCATGATTAGATCCTAGTCTTCTTGTTTCTTTTACAGCTTCTCTAAGACTCTTTGTAAATCTTGTATTTCTACTGTATTTTTTGTATTTGGTATTTCTTTATAAGTCATACTTTGCTTTGCTCTAATTATACTATATTGTGTTTCTTTATTAATTTTTTCTAAGACTTTCTTTATTTTAATATATTCTATATTATTTTCTATAATTTTCTTTGTTTCTGTCTTTATCAGCTATTTCTTTCTTCTTGCAAGTTTCCTTAGTATTTATTTGTCTTGAACTTGAATTTTTTGACCAATTCTTGTATCATTTTCTTGTTTTTCTTAACGTGCTTGTTTCTTCTTTACTTGTTTAGATTTTTTATATAGTGTTTTTCTAATCTTTCCTTGTGTTGTTCTTTTTGTAGTAATAAGTAGTCTATCATAATATCTAGTGCATAGAGATCTTGTTTTGTAATATTTGGCAAAAAGATCTCAATTTTGCTCTTTACAATAAAGTTGTAATATTTGTAATCTAAATCTTCTTCTATATCTTCGCTGTATTGTTTTCTATATTTCTGTTTATATTCTTCTAACTTCTCTTTGTCTACTTCTGCTAATGGGTTCTCTAGTACACATCTTGTTGCTACTAAAATTTGTTATTTTTGTTTATTTTTAGAAATTTCTTTTTAGATTTGCTTTACGTGATTTGGCTTCTCTATTATTGTTGTTTTTTTTGTTGTATTTGTTATGTGTTGCTTTACATGTTTATATTGTTTTTCTTTTGTTACATGTTGCATAGTTGTGTCATAACAGATTTGCACTACAAGATCAAGTGCTTTTTCCAAAAAATTGCTTACAGACAACAAAAAATTGCTGTATTTTTAAGTTTTTTTTCTATATCTCGATGGATTTTGACTTCTTAACTCTAGTTTTCTAAGAAACAGAATATTGTTTTATGTTTTTCTTCTTTTTACTTAGTTGTGTAAGCCTTGTTTCTTAGTATTGTTCTTGAGTTCTGTTGATTTAGTATTTTTGTTTTTCTATAAAAATTTGTATTTTGATGATTATTAGAAAGAGTTAAAAGAATTACTGAGTAGATACAATTTCTATATTTATTTTTTTTATTTTTTTTTTATTATTTTTTTCTTAACACATACAGCTCACCCCCAAAAAATTTCTCTGTCACGTGATGATCATCCCGATTATTTTCGGTTTCATGTAACATTATATCATCGATTTTTTTTTTTTAAAAATTTGAGTACAAGACTACAATTTTTATTAATATATCGCACGAATTATTTTACTTTTAATATAGTACTAAATTTATTAAATAATTATTACATACACGATTAAAATTTATAAAACATTGTTTGCTTATCACAATCTTTCCACGTTCTTGGTAATTTTTTTTGATTTTTTAACGCCTTACACTTAGTTAACATTTTTTCTATCCTATTCATTGCCTCTTTTGCCACTAATAAAAACCATAGATCCTTATACTGCTCTTGACTCTTAAGTAAATCGGTCTATTGTTAAAGCTTTTGTGTGACACAATTGTTAACTTCTTCCCATGATTCATCAACTTCCTCAAAAAAATCATCATTCTCACCTTCATATTCTTCAAGCGCATCTACAAGTTTGTCATCAGTCTCATTATTTAATTGTTCAACAAGATCTTCGTCAGCTTTGTTAGATTCTTTATTTTCAACTGACATATCTATATCAATTTTTTCTTCTAGCTCATAAGTTTCATCCTCCTCTACTGGTTCTAAACCTTGTACTAATGGAATCAGATCCTTATGTCTCCAGAACGGCGGAGATCTGTAACGTTTAACTTCATTAAAGAAGTTGGGTTTTATTTGACAAACAGATTGCACCAG